TCAGAAGTGCCAAAATGATCCCCCTGTTCATGAAATGAAAGAAATGAACAAAATGAAACTTTACCACTCTAAAATGCCCCTAAAATGATTTTGATTGAAACCGATCAGAGTCTGTTGGTATTAATACCAGGAGTGTCCATGAAAAGTTTGGTGACCCTAGCAAGCTCCAGAAAAGGCTCTGGGGGCAATGTTCCCATTGTGGTTTCAGAGTAGTTGGATTCTGGACCAGAATTGAGACAACTTTGAGACAGGCTTTGGGGCAGTAGTTATGCCCGGGTTGACTTAAAATCTATCGGTATGGTGGAGGGGTTTGGTTTATATGTTTACTTAACATGTTCAGCCATCAGATAGTGCCAATGATCCCCTGGTTCATGAAATGAAGAAATGAACAAAAATGAACTTTAACCTAAAATCGCCTAAAGTGATTGAAACCGATCAGAGTCTGTTGGTATTGATACCCGGAGCGTGTCATGAAAAGTTTTGTGACCCTAGCAAGCTCAGAAAAGGCTCTGGGGGCAAATGTTCCATTTTGGTTTACAGAGTAGTTGGGATTCTGGAACAGGAATTGAAGACAACTTTGAGACAGGTTTTGGGGCATTTAGTATGCCTCGGGGATTGACTTAAAATCTATCTGGTTAGGTGGAGGGGGTATTGTTTATAACATGTTCAGCCTCGCAGTGCCAATGATCCCCTGGTTCATGAAATGACCGAAATGAACAAAAATGAAACCTTTACCATAAAATCGCCTAAAATGATTTGAAACCGATCAGAGTCTGTTGGTGTTGATACCAGGAGTGTCCATGAAAAGTTTGGTGACCCTAGCAAGCTCAGGAAAAGGCTCTGGGGCAAGTTCCATTTTGGTTTCAGAGTAGTTGGGATTCTGGAACAGAATTGAGTCAACTTTGAGACAGGCTTTTTGGGGCTAGTATAGTTATGCTGGGTTGACTTTAAAGTCTATCGGGTATGGTGGAGGGGTTGTTTTACTTAAAATTGTTCAGCCCTCAGAAAGTGCCAAATGATCCCCTGGTTCATGAAATGAAAACGAAATGAAACAAATAATGAACTTTACCCCTAAAAGCGCCTAAAAATGATTTGAAACCGATCAGAGGTAGTCTGTTGGTACTGATACCAGGAGTGTCCTTTGAAAAGTTTGGTGACCCCTAGCAAGCTCAGAAAGGCTCCTGGGGGCAATGTTCCATTTTGGTTTCAGATTAGTTGGGATTCTGGAAACAGATTGAGACAAATTTGAGACATGGCTTTTGGGGCAGTAGTTATCGCTGGGTTGACGTTAAAATCTATATGGTCACTTTAAAATCTATCTGGTATGGTGGAGGGTAGGTTTATAACATGTTCAGCCACTCAGAAGTGCCAAATTGATCCCCTGGTCATGGAATGAACGTTAATGAACAAAAATGAACTTTACCCTACAATCGCCTAAAAAATGGATTTGAAACGATCAGGTCTGGTTGTATTGATTACCAGGAGTGTCCATGAAAGGTTTGGGTGACCCTAGAAGCTCAGAAAAGGTTGGGGGCAATGTTCCATTTTGGTTTCAGAGTGTTGGATTCTGGAAACAGAAATTGAGACAACTTTGAGACGGCTTTTGGGGCAGTAGTTATGCCTGGGTTGACTTAATTCTATATGGTATGTGGAGGGGTATGTTTATACAGTTCAGCCACTCAGCAGTGCCAAATGCTACCCCTGGGGGGGGACCCCCACCCAGGGGCTTCATGAAATGTAAACGAAAATGAACAAAAATGAACTTTACCCTAAAATCGCCTAAAATGATTTGCAACCGATCAGAGTGTTTGCTGATAAACCGGATCTTTCTAGCATGTGTAATGCTAACACAGTTCCAGGAAGAGTTATCTTGCTAATTTTCAAGTTGGTGTTGGCTTGATCAAAGTTATTGAGAAAGCTTGACATATCTTGACTGTCCTTTCTCCTAAGATTGATAAAATCCGACCAGGATTTCATCATCTTACTGGTATCATCTTTCCTGTATGTTCTATCTAATAGCTTCATGATGTTTTGTACTCCTTCTCCGTCAAGAACATCGATGTCTTTGTTTTTTACTGCTGAGTTGAGCTTTGATACGATATTATGATCAGTGTGTTGAGATACTAGGTTGAACAAGGCATACCCTTGCTCTGCGGGGTCTACTTTTCTGACTGCACATAATTTGTCCCACATCTCAACTTGTAGTCTCCATTCCTCATAACTCATAGATGCTTTCCATTGCGGTGGGGCTGTAAGGCGGGCTGCTGGCTGTTGGTACTGCACTTGTATTGGCTCTGGTTGCAGTACTGCTCCTTGAACATTTGATGATGTTGCTGTATCAGGTGGTGGATTACTTTCTTTTTCATCTTCACTGTTTACCATGTTTTATTGGTTAGACGGTGCAATGATAGGCAGTAATTGTAGTGTAAAAACAGCCCCACCACTCCTATGGAGATAGATGGTTAGTCATCTTAATAAATAAATAAATGAATATAAATACAAATACAATCCATAATAGAAATAGAAACACTGCAGCGATGTGGCCCTCGCAGCTCAGTGAGAATACTAACAGTTCTATGATCTTAGTCGCATCTTCTATTTTTTCTTTCCTGAACACCCTGTTGTCGTCAGCTGTTTCTGTGGCAGATTGTAACAATGGACCACAATAATCGTTCAGCAAACAGCACACTGTCTCTAGCCATTCTGATAACTTCTCTCTAGGCACACTTCTCTGGTTCAGTTTGTCAAATTGCACATCATCGTTGTGTTCGGCACCGATGTTACTTCTAATCTCCTTCAAAATACTGTTAGTTGCCATGTGTATCTGATTCACATACTCCGTAAGGAACTGGCCATTCACAACCATAGCAACATCTACTATATCCAAGTGTTCATTCTGTAGCGGCAAAGGCATCGTACACGTTGTACAGATAAACAACAATTGAAGATCCTCAGACTATGAGTAACCTCCTATGATCTATTAGTAACACAGATGATCGCCACAAAAAGTTTGAAGATGACATATATATATGATGCAAGTGTCAGGAAAACAAGAAATCAGCCTTTTTTCGACAATAACAATAAACTTGTTTTAACAATAACAATAAACCACGATTGAGGTACTGAAAGTTAGATTACCAAAGAAAGCTTTGATAAACGGAAAAAGATCAGAATAGAAGGAGACATTTTGGAAGATTTTTGAATTATAGAAGCTTTCTGCTGTTTCATTGACCGAAATTTCAGTTTTAACTGAATTTTTGACCTGTGACCAATCAGTGAAGTTAGTGTGAGTGAACCAAGTCACCATCGAGGTACTGGAAGCTGCATATCCAGAGAAAACTTAGCTTTGATGAAAGGCACATTTTTAAATGTCCTACCGGTAGGACATTATCATATTTCTGCTTTCCGGAACCCAAATTTCACGGTTTTTAATGCATTTTTCTTGAATGATTAATTAATGAGTTCACCATGGACGACAGGAGATACGATTGAGGTACTGAAAGTTGGGTTACCAAAGAAAACTTTGATAAAAGAAAAATCATCAGAATAGAAGGAAATATTTTGGAAAATTTTTTAAAAGAAGCTTTTAGGCCATTTCCTTGACCGAAATTTCACAGTTTTGACTGAGTTTTTAACCAGTGACCAATCAGTGAGGACAGTTTAAGTGACCCAAGTCGTCATAGAGGTACTGGAAGCTGAATATCTGGAAAAAAAACGAGCTTGAACCTGTGATCGCGGGTCAAACTGCCAAATTATATAATACATTTTAATCTTACAAAGATCTGTGATCTGCCAAGCGCTGCGGGGCACCCTGTTATTTCTGATCACACATTTATCTCTCTTTTGTGACGGAATACTTCTAACCGTGTTTACCCTTTCTAGCAATGACAAGGAAACAGGGATAACCGATTGGACTGGGGAGTTGCAGACCAGTGGCAGCACACTACCGTCCAATCGGTAAGTATTTATAATGTTTAGTTATTAGGTATTTATTTGGAATTGGTTTAATTTGGTTGTAAAGTTATTCTATTATGTAATAAAGTATTTTGTTTTACAGGTTTTGTACATACGACAAATACGGGTTTTATTGGTCAACTAAAGGTCATCTAACACACCCTTGGTAAAGCAAAACCTGGAAATAGGATACAAGGATACAAAAGTTGTAATTACTCTATTATGTATTAAATACACATTAGTAGTAATTCTGAAATAATTGACGTTTAAAACAATTCCAATTACTTACAAATGTGTGGGAATAATTTATAATCACAGTGCTGGCAAGCACGAGCGGTGTCTTTATTAGGGGAATACTATGTACCCCCTTTATTATTGTACCCCCTTTACTATTATAACCCCTTAATGTTTCACAAGATCACTGTTCTCAGTACAGGTATAAGAACAATCGTCACATTTAAAAGCTTTCCCAACAGGAGAAGTATTCTCTTTGCCCAACCTGGTTGGTGATGATAAAGAATTTAACATTGAGACATTTGTAGTAGCCATATCATTGATTGTTTCACAATGATGTTCTCTGATATGTTCCACAAAGAACTCATCATAAAGGAAGTGAGCTTCACATTGCGGACAAATGAAACCATGTGATATTCCAGTCACCTCCTCCTGCTCTGTTTTTATTTCCTTTTTTATTGGAATTAAAGTTATGTTACTCCTTTCTTTATCAGCAGCTGTTGAGGATCCTTTACTTTGTGTTAACATTACAAACTTTCCTGGATAAATAACTGATTAATAACATCAAAATACACAAACTTTCCAATTTCAAATATCTACATATCTAATTACCAGTGGATATGAATATTTGGAATAACAAATTTTGATATTTAGACGTGGTCACCCTTAGACATCTCTATTCCATCGATACCATGCAGATATATAATGTGGTAAATAAATGTCAGAATTATATTATAAATAATAAATATAGCGTATTGGAAATACGATAAATTTGCTAATTCTTACTTTAAAGACAAGACAAAATCAATGGGTTAAATAAAAGGTTAGATATATCAATGATTAAATGATTCACAGTAATAGCAACAAAATCATAATTTCTCAATTATATTTTATGGAATAAGTTGCACAATTTTGTTATTGAAATCAGAAAAATTGCTTTCAAAAATAGCTCTTAACATTTGTGGAGATTATTTATAGACTGTAAATGCAATCATTGATCATAAATGATATAAAAGGGGAAGTAAACTGACATTATCTACCAGTGAAAACGCTGTTATCTAATAAATTGTGACTGATGATAGCAAGTATAATGTAGTTGTATAAGAACATTCCTGGCAATTTTAGAGTTTCTGTCCTGTGTGAGTACGTTGGTGTCGGGAAAGACTTGATTTAATAGAGCAAACAAATGAACATTCTTTGCACTTGTAGGATTTCTCTCCCGTGTGAGTCCTCATATGTAATGTGAGATGACCTTTCTGAGCACAAGAATATGAACATTCCTTACACTTGTAAGGTTTCTCTCCCGTGTGAGTACGTTGATGTCTAATAAAACATGATTTAACAGAACAAGCAAATGAACACTCGTTGCACTTGTAGGGTTTCTCTCCCGTGTGAGAACGTTGGTGTCTGATAATATTTGATTTACTAGAGCAAGTATATGACTGGGACAGATTTGATGAGATCCTATCGAATAACCCCAACCTTAACAACACACAAATCAACACTACGACTGAAATTGATCACAAAATAGACATAATCAATACTGCACTAAAGGAAGCCTTCGAGGAGGCATGCCCCATCACTTACATGTCAAGTTCCGTCCGCAAACCCCCCTGGCTAACTCAAGAAGTAGAGGAAGCACAGAGGGGAATAAGACAAAAACTGATTACTGCCCGCAAAAAGAAGACTGATGCCCTGTGGCTCGCTCTTAGAGAGAGCAACAAACAATACAACAGACTTATAACCAACTCCCAGCGTAATGCCCAAGCTTATGGAAGCCTAACCCTCGAAACTATCGCCCCCAGAAAAGGTACCATCACAACTCACACCACTATCAACAAACAATTCATGGTAGATCTCAACATACCACCCAAAGCAGAGAGAGACCTATCTATACCAACCATGATGCTTGAACGACGCTTCACGGTCACCACTCCTGGAGCTGACAACATTGGATATAGAGGCTCACTCCAAAACACCATCGACAACATCCCCAGTGAAACCATCACCTGCTACACAGACGGGTCACGCACAGACTCAGGTAGCGGGGCTGGTTATATTATGACCACAGACAACAACAACACTACACTAGATGAAAGATCATTCAAGCTTCCCGATTATTGCACCGTTTATCAAACAGAACTCACTGCCATCATCGAAGCTTGTAAATATCTATCAACTTATACAAACACACACATCATCATATGGTCAGACAGTCTCTCCTCTATTCAAGCCATATCCTCACCTTCAACGAGGAGTAGGACTACTAGAGACTGTTACGACACCCTCAATACACTCGGATCCACTAACACCTTAGAGATCAGATGGATAGCTGCACACATTGGATTGTGGGGAAATGAAAAAGCAGACGAGCTGGCCAAAAATGGTACAACCAGTGAATCCACTTTGAATTGCCCAATTCCACAATCTTACATCAAACGCCTGATCAACGACAAAGTCACAAAACTTAATCAAGAATCATGGATTACTGATGGTCCCAGACACACTAAACTGACACTTGGACATAAAAACATCAACATCATCAAAAATCTCAACACTACACTCAGTAACAACAGACAAAATTATAGAACTGCAGTGCACCTCATCACGGGACATTGTGGCCTCAACAAACACCTACACACCATTCGCAAATCAGACACAAGTGCTTGTCCTAAATGCGGCGACGAAGAGGAGACTGTCTCACACTTTCTCGGACAGTGCCCGGCTATTGCCCAAATAAGAGGTCAATATTTCCGGGACTACTACCTCTCTGTCAATGACATATTCGACAACCAACACATCTCCACCATTGTCAACTTTACAAACTACACTAAACGCTTAGTGGTGCCAGAGGAGTTGGACCAGACAGTTGTAACATAGCGACTACTTTAACGCCGTCTTATTTCGCCTCTCTCTTCCACACTCAACCACCACTTAAGCGTTTATCTATGACACACCCCACAACACTTACCATCATCCTTGATTACACATCTTGATTCCACTTGCATCCTCCCACAGGACTGCCATACCCCAGAGGTAGGCAAAGCATTCATATGCTATCCTCTCGTGGGCCAACCAGGCCCAGCCTCTCTAAAAAAAAATTTAAAAAAAGTATATGAACATTCCTTACACTTGTAGGGTTTTTCTCCCGTGTGAATCCTCATATTATGTTTCTTGAGATCACCTTTCTGAGCACTAGAATATGAACATTCCTTACACCTGTAGGGTTTTTCTCCCGTGTGAGTACGTTGGTGTTTAGTAAGACTTGATTTAACAGAACAAGCAAATGAACATTCGTTGCACTTGTAGGGTTTCTCTCCGGTGTGAGTACGTTGGTGTCTGATAAGATTTGATTTATCAGAACAAGTATATGAACATTCGTTGCACTTGAAGGGTTTCTCTCCTGTGTGAGTACGTTGGTGTATAGTAAGACTTGATTTAACAGAACAAGCAAATGAACATTCGTTGCACTTGTAGGGTTTCTCTCCCGTGTGAGAACGTTGGTGTCTGATAAGATTTGATTTACTAGAGCAAGTATATGAACATTCCTTACACTTGTAAGCTTTCTCTCCCGTGTGAATACCTAAATGTTTCACAAGATCACTGTTCTCAGTACAGGTATAAGAACAATCGTCACATTTAAAAGCTTTCCCAACAGGAGAAGTATTCTCTTTGGTTGGTGATGATAAAGAATTTAACATTGAGACATTTGTAGTAGCCATATCATTGATATTTGATTGTTTCACAATGATGTTCTCTGATATGTTCCACAAAGAACTCATCATAAAGAAAGTGAGCTTCACATTGCGGACAAATGAAACCATGTGATATTCCAGTCAACTCCTCCTGCTCTGTTGTTATTTCCTTCTTTATTGGAATTAAAGTTATGTTACACCTTTCTTTATCGGCAGCTGTTGAGGATCCTTTACTTCGTGTTAACATTACAAACTTTCCTGGATAAATAACTGATAAATAACATCAAAATACACAAACTTTCCAAATTCAAATAGGAAGCATTGACGTCTGTAGTCAAGACTATTGTTGCAGAGGAGGACCGCAGCAGGAACCTCCTTATCTTCGGTCTGCCTGAGGAAAAAGAAGAGAAGCTCGAATCTCAAGTCAGTGAAGTTCTGGAAACTATTGGCATAAAGCCAAAAGTAGAGGCTCAGAGAATAGGAAAAAAGAAAACGGTTGACTCAACGCGACCAGTTAAAGTTATCACCTCAAACTCGCTCATCGTTAATCAGATTCTGAGGAATGCCAGGAACCTGCGGCAGAGTGAGAAGTTTAAGACAGTTTTCTTGAGCCCTGATCGGTCTGTCGAACAGAGGAAGCTCCGGAAAGATCTGGTACAGGACATGAAGAAGCGGGCACTTGCAGAACCGACCAAAAAGTTTTACATAAAGGACGGGCAAATTTATTGTGCCGATGAGAGCAACGGTTGACAACTTTTTTTGAGTGTGTGTTTCGTGTGCTGTTTTGATATGTTTTGGACCATGTTTGTGAGGGACATATTGGTAGCTGTAGTTATTTTCTATACAAGACTGAATAGTCTTCAGGCTTTAGCTGAGCTTTAATTTCCGACGCAGTTTTGTTGAGCCACTAGTCCATGATGGGGAATATAAACAATATATTTAACTCTTAATGGTCATAGCTACTTTTAATTTCATGAATCATACAGATTTTAAAGTACGCTGGTACGATTTTTATCTTATTAAATTGCTGTTCAATATCTATTTTAGTAAACATTAACTGGGGTAGTAAAACCCAGTTCCCAATCAATTAATCAATCATATCTACATATTTAATTACCAGTGGGTATAAATATTTGGAATAACAAATTCTAATATTAAGACCACCCTTAGACATCTCTATTCCATCGGTACCATGCATAAGATATAAGGTGGTAAATAAATGTCAGAATTATATTATAAATAATAAATATAGCAGATTGGAAATACAATAAATTTGCCAATTGTTACTTTAAAGACAAGACAAGACAAGATCAATGGGTTAAATTAATGGTTAGATATATATCAATGATTATGATTCACAATAATAGCAACAAAATCATAATTTCTCTATCATATCTTATGGAACAAATTGCACAATATTGTTATTGAAATCAGAAAAATTGCTTTCAAAAATAGCTCTTAACATTTGTTGAGATTATTTATAGACTATAAATGCAATCATTGATCATAAATGTTATAAAAAGGGAAGTAAACAGATATTATCTACCAGTGAATACCCTGCTATCTAATAAATTGTGACTGATGATAGCAAGTATTATGTAGTTGTATAAGAACATTCGTGGCAATTTTAGAGTTTCTGTCCTGTGTGAGTACGTTGGTGTCGGGAAAAACTTGATTTAATAGAGCATGCAAATGAACATTCTTTGCACTTGTAGGATTTCTCTCCCGTGTGAGTCCTCATTATATGCTCTGTGAGCCGACCTTTCTGAGCACAAGAATATGAACATTCCTTACACTTGTAGGGTTTTTCTCCCGTGTGAGTACGTTGGTGGGTAATAAGACTTGATCTATCAGAACAAGCAAATAACATTCGTTGCACTTGTAAAGTTTCTCTCCCGTGTGAGTACGGTGGTGTCTGATAAAACTTGTTTGAACAGAACAAGCAAATGAACATTCGTTGCACTTGTAGGGTTTCTCTCCCGTGTGAGTACGTTGGTGTCTGATAAGATTTGGTTTAAGAGAGCAAGTATATGAACATTCGATGCACTTGTAGGGTTTTTCTCCCGTGTGAGTCCTCATATGTAATTTGAGAGGACCTTTTTTAGCACAAGAATATGAACATTCCTTACACCTGTAGGGTTTTTCTCCAGTGTGAGTCCTCATGATATGTTTCTTGAGATCACCTTTTTGAGCACTAGAATACGAACATTCCTTACACCTGTAGGGTTTTTGTCCCGTGTGAGTACGTTGGTGTATAATAAGACTTGATTTAACAGAACAAGCTAATGAACATTCGTTGCACTTGTACGGTTTCTCTCCCGTGTGAATACCTAAATGTTTCACAAGATCACTGTTCTTAGTACAGGTATAAGAACAATCGTCACATTTAAAAGCTTTCCCAACAGGAGAAGTATACTCTTTGCCCAACCTGGCTGATGATGCTAAAGAATTTAACATTGAGACTTTTGTAGTAGCCATAACATTGATTGTTTCACAATGATGTTCTCTGATATGTTCCACAAAGAACTCATCATAAAGGAAGTGAGCTTCACATTGCGGACAAATGAAACCATGTGATATTCCAGTCACCTCCTCCTGCTCTGTTTTTATTTCCTTCTTTATTGGAATTAAAGTTATGTTACTCCTTTCTTTATCAGCAGCTGTTGAGGATCCTTTACTTTGTGTTAACATTACAAACTTTCCTGGATAAATAACTGATTAATAACATCAAAATACACAAACTTTCCAAATTCAAATATCTACATATTTAATTACCAGTGGGTATGAATATTTGGAATAATAAATTCTAATATTTATACCACCCTTAGACATCTCTATTCCATCGGTATCATGCAGATATATAAGGTGGTAAATAAATGTCAGAAATATATTATAAATAATAAATATAGCTTATTGGAAATATTATACATTTGCTAATTCTTACTTTAAAGACAAGACAAAATCAATGGGTTAAATTAATGGTTAGAAATATCATTGATTATGATTAACAGTAATAGCAAAAAAATCATAATTTCTCAATCATATTTATGGAACAAATTGCACAATTTTGTTATTGAAATCAGAAAAAATTACTTTCAAAAATAGCTCTTACCATTTGAGGAGATTATTTATAGACTATAAATGCAATGATTGATCATTAATGATATAAAAGGGAATTAAACTGATATTCTCTACCAGTGAATACCCTGCTATCTAATAAATTGTGACTGATCAGAGCAAGTATAATGTAGTTGTATAAGAACATTAGTGGCAATTTTAGAGTTTCTGTCCTGTGTGAGTACGTTGGTGTCGGGAAAAACTTGATTTAATAGAGCATGCAAATGAACATTCTTTGCACTTGTAGGATTTCTCTCCCGTGTGAGTCCTCATATGCTCTGTGAGCCGACCTTGCCGAGCACAAGAATATGAACATTCCTTACACTTGTAGGGTTTTTCTCCCGTGTGAGTACGTTGGTGTCTGATAAGATTTGATTTATCAGAACAAGTATATGAACATTCGTTGCACTTGAAGGGTTTCTCTCCTGTGTGAGTACGTTGGTGTATAGTAAGACTTGATTTAACAGAACAAGCAAATGAACATTCGTTGCACTTTTAGGGTTTCTCTCCCGTGTGAGAACGTTGGTGTCTGATAAGATTTGATTTACTAGAGCAAGTATATGAACATTCCTTACACTTGTAAGCTTTCTCTCCCGTGTGACTACGTTGGTGTATTATAAGATTTGGTTTAATCGAGCAAGTGTATGAACATTTATTGCACTTGTAAGGACTCTCTCCCGTGTGAGTTCTCATATGTAATGTGAGATGACCTTTCTGAGCAAAAGAATATGAACATTCATTGCACTTGTAGGGTTTCTCTCCCGTGTGAGTACGTTGGTGTCTGATAAGCGTTGATTTAAAAGAGCAAGTATATGAACATTCCTTACACTTGTAGGGTTTCTCTCCCGTGTGAATACCTAAATGTTTCACAAGATCACTGTTCTCAGTACAGGTAAAAGAACAAACGTCGCAGCTTAAAGCTTTCCCAACAGGAGAAGTAGTCTCTTTGCCCAACCTGGTTGATGATGGTAAAGAATTCAACAAGACATTCGTAGTAGACAAATCATTGATTGTTTCACCATGATGTTCTCTGATATGTTCCACAAAGAACTCATCATAAAGAAAGTGAGCTTCACATTGCGGACAAATGAAACCATGTGATATTCCAGTCACCTCCTCCTGCTCTGTTTTTATTTCCTTTTTTATTGGAATTAAAGTTGTGTTACTCCTTTCTTTATCAGCAGCTGTTGAGGATCCTTTACTTTGTGTTAACATTACAAACTTTCCTGGATAAATAACTGATTAATAACATCAAAATACACAAATTTTCCAAATTCAAATATCTATATATTTAATTACCAGAGGGTATAAATATTTGGAATAATAAATTCTTATATTTAGACCACCCTTAGACATCTCTATTCCATCGGTGTACCATGCAGATATATAAGGTGGTAAATAAATGTCAGAAATATAGTATAAATAATAAATATAGCTGATTGGAAATACGATAAATTTGCCAATTTTTGCTTTAAAGACAAGACAAGATCAATGGGTTAAAGTAATGGTTAGATATATATATACATATATGGTTAGATATATATACACATATATATATTCAGGGATAGACGCTTTGCCAGTCAATTATAGGCTATATTTAGGTGTCCGTAGATTCAGAAGCTTTAAAGATACAGCCATTTCGGACCACAGGTCTTGAAGATAATTGTTTAGACATTAGTTTACATTATGTTAAAAAGTAATTCAACGTCATCATCACCACTTGATGACGTCATCAAGTTAACAATTTTTAAAAATTGGTTTACACAAAGTAATCATTTTTAAAATCAATTTTACGCCATTAAGGAGTAATTTTATTCAAAATTTGAGGACATATTGAAGTTAGATAATTGTTTAAGCATTCTGAAAATCTACCGGAAAGTTTTTCTAGCTTGCTCCTTCATAAAGATATT